CTCGACCTACAATTTTTCTCTTTTGTCGAAAGGATGTCCCTGGGATCAAAATTTGCTTTATTGTCGAAAGAAAGGTGATTCTCATTGACAAAGCCAATATAGGTTGAAAAGAAAACATGATCAAAGATTTGGGATAACAAATACATAGACATCAGAATATAAGTCGATAAAAACAATATTTGGAGCATATACCGGGTGATCAAGATTCTGAATTCTGCACGACCCTGTATTTGTTTCAATTAAATGTCAGTAGATAGTTGATCAAAAGTTGAGATAGGGACATGTGAGCCGTTTTGACCAATAATGAATAGTTTCGACAAAAAAAATTCCTAAAGTTGAAAAATGTCGATTTTTCACACCCTATATTTCTGTAATCATTTCCGCTAGACCCCAAGTGTGACATAGATAAAATCAGCTCTTCAGAGAGAATCTGAAACTGCAATAAAATACAGGGTGTTCCATTTAAAATAACAAAGTTGTTGCTACTTTTCGATAGAAGCGGCAACGCCACAGAGCTGAAAATATTTTAGATCGATAGACCAAGAGCAACTACGTGAGTAACCAAAATTTCAGAATGATCCTATGTCCCGTTCTCCATAAACGTCTAACGTACCATCGACCGTGAGTTACCCTGTATACTATTTGTATTGAAGATCGACTCAAGAAGTAAGTAGTAGAAAATTATACAACTGCCCATTTGATGGTAAACATTCTTTATATATACTTTTTTTTTATCGCTTGGAGCGCACGAAAGGGAATCCCTATAATGTTCAAAGAACATCGTGCGTTCCTAGGGAGGATAGGGACAGGAGGTAGGTATTGGAATTTTTTTTGAACTTTTGGAGATTATATGTTGTTGAGAATACTTCCACTGGCAATGAATTCCAGAGCCTAATCGTTCTATGGATGAAGGAGTCTTGATAAAGTGCTGTTCGACATCTTTCGAGGTTGACAACGAAAGGATGTGCTGACTGGGCTTGTCTAGTTCGTCTGATTGGTATTGCTAGTGAAGGGATGATAGCAGAGATTTCCGAAGAACATTTCCCGTGGATGGCCGAATCATTCTGTTATGATCGCCGGGCGAGTTTTGTTTTCAACATAGTAACACTGTAGTAAAGGTGGATTCATGCAACATCAACTAAATTATAATGAATTTAAGATTTAAACGTATTTTAAATTGAGAATATATGGGTGTTCATGCAATAACCTTTCATCAGCTGTTTATTCTTTTTCCAGCGCGGCTAGTTATTATTTGGCGCAGGCGTTGTCGTGAATTATGGAAGAAATTAATTTCTTAGTTGAATGTTGGCCATCTTTCTTAGTTTTAATTTTAGTTTTGATTTTTTAGTTTCTTGCATGAGCACCTACATTACATTTCATAGTTTTATATTATTGGTTTAAGTTTAAAATTCATTGAAGTTTTAAATTTTGCTTGCATGAATCCACCTTTAGTACCTATCAGCAGTTCCTAACACATAAAACACTGCCTCCTCCACCGCTGCCATATCGAGACTTCGAGACTGACAGCATCCACAGATGTATTTCAATTGAAATTCTTGAATAATTATTCATTCACCTATTGTTTTGTGTTACAATGTTAATATGTTTCAAGCTATAGCAATTCCTTGAGAATAAATAATTTGTCGAATATTGATGCATACCAATTTTTGGAATGATATGTCTTTCCCTTCTCCAGATACTTCTAATACACCATCCATTGTGAATCAACCATTTTTTCAGACCGAAGCATATTAGCTCGGCTCAAGATATTCTTTCTTATTCAACTCTTAAAACATAGTCTTAAAAAATTTCATCAGAATATTGCAAGTATTTTCAAAATGATCGTCAAAAATGTATACCACATTCATTTTTCTCAATCTTGAATAAGGATACGGTCTGTAGGTTGATCGAGGAGGTGGAACATTCATTTTACTTGAGTTTTTGGAATTTTTTCTCCTCGTTTCTATAAAATGAAAATATGCGTATTATTTCAATATATTTGTAGTAATCAGATATAATCAGATGATTTTCCCCCAAATGTCACTGCGTTCAACAAATTTTTCTATCAGGGAGCCTAAAAGAAAAATCTAGTAACTTGTCAGTGAAAATTTGTTTGAAAAAATGTTTGAAGGAAAGAAAAATAGATATATTGGAGGAATATCGAATTTTTACTTATATTTGGACGTTTCGGGAACGAATCTGCTTCCGTTTTCAACATGAAAATGAAGAATATTTCTCTTTGGAAGTTGTGCTGCTTATAGTTTGACACTTTTCAGTGTCATACTGATGATGGCATATGAGTGAGTGATTTTAGTCTACAAATGAGTGATATTTTGCATTTTCATGTTGAGAACGGGAGCAGATTCAGTCCCAAAAAGTCCAAAGATAAGTACAAATTCGATATTCTTTCAATATATCTATTTTTCTTTCCTTCAAAACATTGTTTCAAACAAATTGTCGCTGACAAGTTACTGGATTTTCCTTGTAGGATCCCTGATAGAAAAATTTGTTAAACGCAGTGACATTTTGGGGCAAATCTTCTGATTTGAAATAATACATTATTTTATAGAAACGAGGAGAGAAAATCCCAAAAAAAATCAAGTAAATTGAATAAGGATGTTGTTACGATCATATTTTATAGAGGAATCCCAACTCATTTTGAAGTTTTTCTACATATCCAAGTAACAAGGCCTCCTATTTGAAAGACCTTATATGGGCCGTTTATACAGGGTATATATAAATAACACCGGAAAAATGTGAACGGTTATTATGTGATGGAAATCAAGGTTGGTATTTGGTATGAAATTCTATGAAAAACCTCCCCCCTGAAAAGTTACATCCTTGAACAATTGTAGCCTTGCAGTAAATAAGGGGCTAAGTGCCAAAAATTCGAAAACTGGTTTTATTGCTTCAAAGTGGGCTATGTACCATCGCCTATAACGCGAATAACGGGCTATGCAAGAATGCACCGGCAAATAATTTAATTTTCCACCGTCAGGCGACGCATGTGTCAACTTTCGAGTTCATATTAGTAAATAACGGGGTAAGTGCCAGCTTCTCCATATTCGTTAATTCGTGCTAGCGTGGACTTGGTGAAGCTGATGGTTAGTGCTACTCCAAAAAATCCATTCATGGTCACGGTTATGCAGACAGAAGATTTTTTCGACTTCAAACAGGCGGCGGAAATGAGTCTGATTACCAAAGATTTACAAATTTTTAAATCGAAATGGATCATTGTAGAGAAGGATTCATTGAGATTTGGGCGCGTTCAGACTCGTGAGACGGGTTTTCAAAAAAAATATTTCAGAAGGAACTATCCGTGATATTACTCTGCCACCATTATCATGTAAAAGCAAAATAAGCAATGAGAAGAAAGAAAACTTGAAAAAATGTATTCCTCATGTCAAAGAGGAAAATCGAGGATTTTTCGAAGAAATTCTTCGTTGATAAATCAACCTGATTTCTTTTCTATTTTTGTATGTTCACTCAAATAAAAAATTGACAAAAACGATGTTAATTCCTTGTTTCGAACCTCTTCATTTTCTGGCACTTAGCTCATGGTAAAATACACATTGGTGTGGTACTTAGCCCGCACTATAAGAAGAGATAATGATGGCACTTGGAACCTTCTAATAATATCAAAGTTGTTTGAATTTTTTCTCTTGAACCAGAGCACCCACATGATAAATCAATTTAAATTCTTGTTTATACCATACAAAGGTTCACATAAAAAAATGGAAATATATCCAAATGAAATCGTTCATGTTTTATGAAGTTTTTATCGAATAACTCGAAATAATTTTTTTGGCACTTAGCCCCTTATTTACTTCAAGGCTACAATTAAGATAATTCTTTTTCTTTTTCACTCCTCCTGTATTCTCAGCTAAAGACACGAAACTCGGTGAATATTATTGGAAAAGTTAGTAAATTAATTCAGTCATGATTCCTTGGAAACAATATTTTTATGAAAAAGAAGTTGTAAGAAAAAATGTCTGAGAGGTAGAATATTTCGACCCCTTCTAAGCATAATTCAGGGTTGAAAACATTCCAAAATGTGTAATTTTATTGACGTATAATATTCACCGTGTGTTCAGCTCAATACACAGGGAAAATAAAAATAATGTTTTAATTAAATACTGTCTGTAGGTTAATCGAGGAGGTGGTACATTCATTATTCCAAATATTTTGGGATTTTCTCTCCTCGTTTCTATAAAATAAAAATATGAATATTATTTCAATATACGTGTAGTAAGGACAAATCAGATGATTTGCCCCAAAATGTCACTGCGTTTGAAGAATTTTCCTATCAGAGAGCCTGAAAAAAAAATTCAAAAAATTTTGGAGAAGAGAAATAAAGGTATATAGAAAAAATATCAAATTTTCACTTATCTTTGGACGTTTCGGGACCGATTCTGCTCCCGTCATTGAAAACTGAAAAGCTTCGAGACATATTATACGACTTCGCAATTGAAAAAATCTCTTTCCATGTTGAAAACGGGAGCAGAATCGGTCCCGAAACGTCCAAAGATAAGTGAAAATTTGATATTTTTTCTATATACCTTTATTTCTCTTCTCCAAACATTTTTCAATACAAATTGTCACTGACAAGCTAGTGAATTTTTCTTTTAGGCTCTCTGATAGGAAAATTCTTTAAACGCAGTGACATTTTGGGGCAAATCATCTGATTTGTCCTTACTACACGTATATTGAAATAATATTCATATTTTCATTTTATAGAAACGAGGAGAGAAAATCCCAAAAAATTTTGAATAATGAACGTTTTAATTTGTTGATCTTCGCAGATGAGAGGTTTATGGAGAAATTTTATACCAAATACCCACCGTCATATTCATCAATCCTTGAATATTTTCGATGTTATTTAGATACACTCTGTATACATTACTCAAGAAAATAAATGAACCATCTCGTATTTTTGACACCCAACATGCATGTTCAATAATCAACTAATCTACGAATTAATTTGATATAGGTAATCTGACCTGTTTTAGGAAAACTGCAAATCCACACATCCTCTTCCTTGACGTCCCAATTGTAAATGTCTTCTCGAAGTTCTTCGAACCTCTTCGGCATTGTCACCCCTTCAACAGTTATATAACCAGGTCGGAACGTGCTTGTGAAATCATGTTTCAGAATGTTCTCCAAGTCCGAATTATTATTGGCGAATAATCCCATTGTAATCAAGTTTAACGCTCCGAACTCAAAGGATATAGATAGAAAGCTAAGCCAGATTTTCCTTCGAACTGATTTATATAGGTTATCTAATTGAAATTGGTAGTGGTAGCGGTGCCACACGAAATCAATTATTACGTTTCTATCATTTATCCCCTTCACTAATACAGGGAGGTGATCATTGAGTCGCACAAAGTAGTATAATTGAAGGTGAAAATAAAACACAAAATCATGCCCAAGCGCTTACATAAATAAAATAAGTATGCCACTGCATTCATTAAACGTACAAAGTTATATAAAGCCCTGTTCTCTTCCTACCGATAAGTTAAAATCTAACCAAGATACGGAAGTTGCTAAAAAAGTGAGAATTTCCAACTTCGGACTGTATCTGAAAAACATTAACGGCTGTGAAAATTCTGTTTGCGGCATTATCCGTTTCACAAAAAAGTAATGTGGAAACCGCAACAGTTTATCTCCAAAGATGACTGAATTATCGCGCAAAACAATCGAAAACTGGACACACTGTACTTCTGGTTTAACCGGAAATACACTTATTTTTTGAATTCCGATGGTATTTCTTTGCAAATTCTGATAGATCTTGATATTTACAATTCGTAGATACTGAATTTAGTGGGTATATAATACACATTAGAAGTTTTCCAACTAAGTATAGTAGTTGGATCAAAAACTTGAAAATTAGTATGCTGTTATGATCGATTATTTTCAAATCTGAAATATATTTTGTCCTTCAGCTTCACAGGATGTGCACAAAGGCGACACCAACTCTTTAATTTAAATGAAAACCTACAACTTTTAGGCAACCTGATCCATGTCAACTCATCTATAATAGTTTCCAAGATATGTCGATTTTTCTGAAAATAATTACCGCAGTAGAAACAGGCTCGATAGCTCAAAATTTTTAACTTTGAATAACACCACCGTATACACAGGGAAAATGTATCGTTGATTTCACACATCACCCTTCGACCTACACTATTTTCATTATTTTCATTGAATAACTCGATGTAGGTTTGAGTTGGGAATACGGAATGCTTGAGTAACACATTCACAAATTCAATTTTCTTCCATATAGTGCTAAAAAATAGCATGTGCCATTCGAAGAAATCGAAATTTTGGCAATTTTTCAATGCGACATTTGAAATTTTTCAGCGCCCATTCGGCACAAAATGGCTGGAATTTCTTCAGCTACCTGTTCAACAAATTTGGTGCTCTTATTTTAATAGGTTTGCCAGATACAAATATGTTTCTGTGAACTACTACGGCAGTAATTATTTTTTAAAAAATCTGCATATCTCGAAAGCTGTGATGGATAAGTTGACATGAATCAGGTTGTGTTAACTCAGATTGAGAAGGCGAATCGAACCATGTGAAAAAAAGTAGGTTTCTATTCAAAATAAGAAAGTAGGCGACTTTTGGCATACCCTGTATAGTTGGAGGACTTGAAATATTTCAGGTAGATTGGAGATGAACATTCCTTATCGCTTACCTGACAATTTCAAAGTTTTTAATCTAAATCTAAATCACCCTGTATTATTCCCACTAAATCCAGTATGTCTGTATTCGAAATGTCAAGATCTATCAAAATTTGTTCAATTGACGGCAAAGTTTCAGAAATGTCGTCCTTCTCGTTTCAACCTGGTTCTATATTTTACCCCGACCCTGTATATCTAAAATCTACCAATTAATCACGAACTCTATATCATGGACTCCTTGTTTTCAAATTTGAATTCAGCTCGGCAGCGCGGCCCGACATTCGTTTGATGATCTGTTCAACTGACTTTGCATAAACTATACCCATAGATTATCCCAATATAACTGAAATTAATGATATCAAAACATGCAACAAGCGTCTACCAATAATTCTGTTGAAATTAACAGTATATGATTCAACGAGCGCGCGCATAATAGCCATGCGCAAGTGGAATAATATACTTACTTCATCTACAACTATTCAAATATCGAAGCAACTTTGAGAGTATAGAAATATATCGATGAAAAAAGGAGGGTCATATTGCAGAATTGAAAATACTTATTGATGTAAATCTCATTGACAAAAATTTTAAACTCATTTCAAGAATTTTCATCGTGATTATTATGAACCATGTTAGATCTATTTTTTATTAACAGGAAAAAATCTTATCAGATATTATATTTGCCATTTCAGTATGTGAAATGAATCGTATCATTGCGCCAGCGTAGCCTCGTGGTTAGAGCGTCAATGTTCTATCCACGTTGGATTACCGGTAGTGGGTTCGAGTCCCACCACGACCGCAGAAATTTTTCTGATGGTCTAAGAACATGTTTGGGATCACACGTTAAAAGGTAAGACCCCCGTCATTCTTTGCTCGCACAAGTCTCTTGAAGACTTCTGAGGGTTGCTCGTAAGGGGGCAACCGAATGATGGATAAGAACAATTTTAGAACAACAATTGCAGATGATTCATTTAAGAACATGAGTATCTACGTCAAAACGATTGTCAATTATTACAAGAAAACTTAGATAGAATTAACGAATGATGTTTTTCCAATGAGTTAGTTATTACTCAATCCAGGAAAGTGTGATATCCTCCACTTTGAAATCTTGTGTCATGTTCAACTATATCATTGATAATACTAACGGTAAAACTGCATTTAGCATGCGATGGTTTTTTCTTCGAAAAAATGTTTTGGTACTTACGTATTTTTGTCTGAAAAACACGAATTTGATAATGAAAATGTGAACAAACCATTATTTATTTAGATATTTCACTATAAAGTTACAAATTTCACCTTCTTTTCCGCCTGTCTTCTGGATTGAATTTAAATCAGTTTGCCCTTCTTTTTTCATCATTGGACAATTTATATAAATCACAATAAGACACATTTTTTCTATTATTGAGTCAACTAGAAATATGATTTACTTGTGATTTATCCATATTTAGTGAAAAGAAGGAAGAATATCATTCGAAATAATGGCGTGTGTAATGTCATTCAAAAGCAATCTGTTGACATTTGACATCTCGTATTTGGATTGACTATTAATTAAATGGCCGTCATCTGGTATGCTTGTTCACTAAATATGGAAACTGAAACACGAAAATCATATTTCCTGTCCTGTCAGCTGTCAAGTGTCAAGTCCTATTTCACGTTTACTTTTGGTACTCATGGTAGTCACTGTTGAGAATGAAAAACAGTGAATTTTCATTTTTCGGTGTAATTAAACAGATAATTTCATCGATCTATCACACTTGGGGTCTTGTGGGACTGGAGATATATAGGATGTGACAAATTAAGATGCTTTCACCTTTAGGAATTTTTATGTTCATTATCGCCCAAAACGGTGTTCATGTCCCTGTCTTAACTTTGGATTTACTATCTACTGACATTTAATTGAAACAAATACAGGGTCATCAGAATCCTATAGGTACAAATTTAGGCAGCAATTCTCCAATTATTAGATTGAGTAGTAGTTTTAACGAATATTGTATTATTGATATTCACTGTATATCTATATTCACCTTCGAACAGAAAGTTAAAAAAATATCCCTCACCTAAAATTCCAATATTATCATTTCAAACACTTTAACAATCATATATTTACTCGTCTCATTATAAGACGAGCTGTCATGTAAAATATTGTATCAGCGGATACTTTTTTGGGTTTTGAACCTGTTTGTACCCCAAAATTGTAATAAATAAATAAATAAATAAATAAATAAATAAATAGATAAATAAATAAATAAATAAATAAATGAATGAATAAATAAATAAATAAATGAATAAATAAATAAATAAATAAATAAATAAATAAATAAATGAATGAATAAATAAATAAATAAATAAATAAATAAATAGATAAATAAATAAATAAATGAATAAATAAATAAATGAATGAATAATTAAATAAATAAATAAATAAATGAATAAATAAATAAATAAATAAATAAATAAATAAATAAATGAATGAATAAATGAATGAATAAATAAATGAATAAATAAAAAAATAAATAAATAAATGAATAAATAAATAAATAAATAAATAAATAAATAAATAAATAAATAAATAAATAAATGAATGAATGAATAAATAAATAAATAAATGGATAAATGAATGAATAAATAGATAAATAAATAAATGAATAAATAAATAAATAAATAAATGAATAAATAAATAAATAAATAAATAAATGAATAAATAAATAAATGAATAAATAGATAGATAAATAAATGAATAAATAAATAAATAAATAAATAAATAAATAAATGAATAAATAAATAAATAAATAAATAAATGAATGAATGAATAAATGAATAAATGAATAAATAAATAAAAATCCTGAACTTTTCACCACCCTGTATTTGTTTCAATTGAATGTCTGTAGATAACTAAATCAAAAGTGAAGATAGGGACATGAGAACCGCTCTGGCCCGAAATGAATAATTTAGACACGAAAAATTCCAGAAGGTGAAAATATCTTAATTTTTCACACCCCCTATATCATATCTCTGTGATCATTCCAGCTAGACCCCAAATGTAGTAGATCGATGAAATCATGCCTTCAGGAAGAATCTGAAAATGCAATAAAATACAAGATGTGAAAATTCATAAATGTCGCTCATAAGTATTTTTTGAGATGTTCGACTGTTTTTCTGATAGCATATATAAAATATACAGAAAAAATGGATGAACGTTCCTTGAAGAAAAATTGAACAGTATATAAACAAGTTCAGTGAGGGTTCAAAATAAACGTGAACACCCTGTACATATCTATTTTATTATCAGATGAAATTCATGAATATGTTGTAGTATAATAGTACATCATACACCTAGGGAATGAAGTGATATTTCAATTCCCTAGAAAAATAGTTTATAGCTCAAGCAACAAGAGGGCTATAATAATTTGTCTGGGGGTTCAAAAATACTTTAGTCTCGAAGTGTATATATATATTATGCACTTCAGGATAGATGAAACGTTAAAGAAAGAATGAAGAAAAATAATAAAAATACTAAACGGAAGTTACTCTATTTCTAACACGTCATTGAAGGGACTGATTGTTACCATATCAACGACCTCAGTAACTATTATGGTGATCAAGATCATGATTGTCATCGGCAACTGAACATCTTGGTGTGTTATGACAAGTAATTAAGTAAAACATGAATAAATAAACATTAGGCAA